GGGGGGGGGGGGGGGGGGGGGGGCTCTTCCACCTATGTCATATGGTTCCACCTTTTTCTCAAAAACAAAACCTCAGCTAGCAGAGCATTAAGCAGATCGCAAACGCAACAGGGCAGGTGTAATAATCGGGGAGGAAACATTTCATGTGGTAGGGTAATATTTCCCTGGGAAATATATAATTGTGAAAAATAAGCCTCCACAGACTGAAGAGCATGGGGCTCTTACCTCAATGCTGATTTCATGTCGAAGCAGCAAAGGAGGCAGCCGGGGAGGACGTCAGCCAGAGAAAGGGCAGACCCGCCAGTTTCGCCTGCCCACGCTGAGTGGAGCCAAGCCAAGCGGGCCGGGTGCAATCTCGCTGGCGGGGGCTGTGGCTCAGAGAGAGGTTGGAGGTGTGGGGGGGAGTGGGGGAGGTAGAAAGAAAATAGCAAAAGTGAAAGCAGTAGTAAAGAAAAGCAGTTACTTTTTTGTATCCCAGCCAATACACCAAGATGTTACAGGAAAACTGCAGGGTTCCTGATCAGAGAACCAAGATGATGTGGGAAACTGCAGGTTTCACCAGCTAAATTCGAGTTCTTGGTGTCTCGAACAGAGAATTCCACGAGTCAGGCTAGACGTGAAAAGCAGAGGCCGGTTTATTTAGTAAAGAGGGTGGAGCGAGTTCCAGCAACAGTATGACTCAAGAGCACCGAGAGTTACATTCCGTGGGTTGAAGTCCTCCCAGCTGGATTCGAGGAGTTTGGTCACTTGCTGAGCCCTGGCAGTTTCTGTTGATTGGCACCTCAGCGGCGGGAGCTCATTGGTCCAACCCAGTAGTGCCCAATGTGGGGGCAGAGCTCCCTATCTCTATTTCCTCTGGCTATGCACGCCTGCACCCTCAGGGAACCAGGGGTGCCACCTATCCTACTGGCAAACCAGGTTTCCTCTTCCCACTCTTGTCCTTTTCTACTTTCCTACAACACTTGGGTCAAAGTCCCTTATCCTCTTCCTCCATCTCAGCGTCAACAGCGGTAACGTTCCCTTAAACCAACAATGAGCTCCCCGAACCCCCGACCTCCCGCCCTCAACTCCTGGCGGAATTCCCCGCAGCCCCTCGGGGCACCCCCAGGGTCGTCCTGATGCTCAGAAGGTCCACATGGTGGGCAGCCTTTCTGAAACTGTGAAACTCTGCAAATCAGCTCCACGTCAAAAAGGTGCGCAGGCTGATACCTTGGGGACCCCACAATGGACGAAGCGGGGAGGGGGCCTGCGTTTCTCCGGCCCTCCTCATCGGAACAAGCCGGAGAGCCGGGCTTTAAGGAGGAGCTTCGGTTGGAGGGGGGTCTGGGCCTGCCAGGGCGAGGGATTCCGCAATGGGGCAGCGGACGGAGCGCGGGGTCTCCTCCCTTCGCTCCTCACCCCCCAACTCCCGCACTCGGCGACGACTCCCGCATCGTCCACTGAGAGAGCCAGAGAGAGAAGAACAGGCGAGAGAAGAGCCCCCAGACCCACCTTCTCCGGTCGGCGGCCGCCCGCGACCGGCCGCACCCG